TCCCAAGCCTTTTCTGATTCCCAAAACTTAGGATCCTCATAGTCTATGGTGCTACCGCACATTTTACAAGATGCTAGTACAATTAACACATGCTACAGCAATGATTTACTTACCTATTAGACTGATGCTGCTCAACAGTTCTGTGCTGCCAATATCTAGAAAAGTTCCTGGCATTGAAAGGCATAAATTTTGCCTCATAGTTAAATGTAAACAGCAGTAGGAATGCCATGCATGTTGAAGGGAATTCAGCAACCCACTCTATGATCTACACACGCTAAAAGTTGAATGTGTGTTTGTGTGCAAGTCTGGAGAGAAAAGCAGGGTGCATGGGAACATAAGAGAATAAAGTGCTATGAAACTTACAAAAGCACCTATCTTCCACTCTTCGGGTACTAAGAGAGCTGCTCCAAGTGTACTCAACTGCAGAGTGCCATGCTAGTGTCTGAGCTCCTCTGCTCACTAATAACCCCTGCTGCTAATCTGTCCAGAGGACAAGGACCCAGCCCCCTAGGGACTGGACCAGACAAACCAGGTCAACGGCAAGGGCCATGCCCTTACAGGCAAAACACATTTTGTAAAACTCCAAAGAACTGTACCTAGACCTTGATCGGTACTTGCGACAGTCCTTTACCACACAAAGACAGGAAAGAAAAACCGACAGCCCCGGGATCAACCTCACCTGGCATCTCCTTTGATTTCTCCAGATGAGAGCTGCCACTGTGTATCAACACAGAGCAGGGCTCAGCTTTTTTCTACCTGAAGTCTACTGATAACGTGAAAACAACTACTAAAAGAACCAACAGCGTTTTTCTTACTTCTATTTTAAGTGATGACTCCTAAGTCCAGGAGAGTACCCTGAGCTTTGCTGAGAAAACTCCTTAGAAAACCACAGTAAGTGGACATCAGATACTTCTGAAATGAAGAGGGAGACCTGGGCCAAAACACAACAATTTACATTTTAAAAAATAATTCTTAAATGTAAAATATACAGTAACAAAATTACTTATCTTACCCAAAGCCACTTACTCTGAAGTTACAACCTAATAAATTTACTAAAATGTTAAAAAAAATCTTTCATAACTTTACATTTTATAACCCACTAACTCTTTGAACCGATTTAGCTGACTTCCAAAAGATTCTGGCACACTCTGGAGGAGGAATAGGGCACTGATGATACAAGATACCAGGAAGCAGGGATTCAGGTGGTGGGTCTCCCCACCTCACTGGAACCCGAGGGTGTCAGGCTTCCTTGGGCCAAAAGCGCTTCCCCAGGGAGTCCTTGAGGCTGGCAAGTCAATAAAAAGAAATGAAAAGGGAGACAGGATAGTTCCCTTATCCTGTTATTTAACCCACAGCCTAGAAGGTGGGCTACAAAGCCCAGGCTATAAATCGACTGACAGTATGGCCCTACCAAGGAAAGCAGTTTTTAGGGAAATCCCAATTTAATCCAAGATGAATGAGAAAGTGGAACGCAAATGTCCACTGACTCACCAAAAATACTGAAAATAACCTTACCAAAAGAAACTGAAAATATTCTATTACAAGCCTCTCTTGAACAATGACTGTCCTAAGACATTAAGAAAAAGCATTTAAATTTATTTGTAAATGAATATGGTTTGCACACAGCTTCGGTTTCATTAAGGTAGCATTTTCTAAATTGTACCAATACTGAGAAAGGATCCTACAGCCAGCCCAGTTCACTTCATGCCCACTTGCTCCTATAGCGCTAACAAGCAAGACCCTGGCAAGGGCACTTTCTTTGTTTCTTATGTTTGCCTTGGGGCAATTTTTATTCTATTAATATTTTCTAAACTCTCTCTGATTCTAAATAAAACCAAGGGTCAGGTCTATAAAAATAATGACATTAAAAGTCAAAATGACTGAGTTTCAACTCAGTATACACTTAACAAAACTTAAGAGGAACAATGTTGAGAATCTGCTAAAAAAAAAATTCCCAGTTTTAAAATCCATAGGACCAAAGTTAACCAGAATAACCAGTATAGCAACCAACAGATCACTTAGTAAACAAACACAGCCAAAGCACATGCAGCATGCACAGGAGGGAAAAGAGACAGATAAAAGATCCTCCCCAGAAGGAAATTCACAATGCAGTTGAAAAGATGGTCAATATGTTTGACATGACCCTTCTGAAGTATTAACAGGTACAGCAAACTACAAGACAAATGTATCCACTGTACTCCTATCCACACCATTGATGATCTCTCTATGGCAGGCCACATAAAGAGAACACCGTCCTTCAAAACACCTGGCAGGTAAAGGTACATTCCAAATGTCCTGAATAAACTGGATGGAGTCCAGGAATAAGAATCGCAAAATAAATTCTGTCCGAGTAGTAATAAGAAGGGAGGGAGAGGACAGGTTACTAAACCTGAAGAGCCACAATGCTCTCAACCACAATAAAGAGAAGCAACTATACAGAAAATGGCAAGTATCTGTATTTCTTCAAAAGCAAAAGAAGTCAATTTCAATTACATGGTAGTGACAGAGCATTGTGCGGCAGAGCCCTCTGCTGAGACTGTTAGATTTCTTTAAATAAGAAGCTGCGTCCTGAGCACTTTGCCCTCAGAAGTTCGGGGTGTGTGTGTGTCTGAGATGGTGCTACTGACTTTCCAGCTTGTTCACCTGAGCTGCTCCTCCAGTAGCAGCAACCTGCTGCACCCCTGGGTCTCAGTTTTGGTCAAAATCTATACTTCAGTTCTCTAAAGCTACAAACTATGGCTGTATTAAGTGAGCACTTCTCTGACTCTGGAAAACAGAAAGTAAGACCTAACATGTATTAGTGTTTAATACAGACCCAGTACTATTCTAACCACTTAGCCTGTATTAATGCATTAACCCTTAATGCAATCTATGACACAGATTCGTAACCATCATTCCCAGGATACAGAGGAGACAAGGCACTAGTTACCGAGAAGAACAGCTTGCCTCAGGCTTGGAAGGGGTGACACAGCAAGAACTTGCATTTAAGCAATTCCAACTCCATATCTCCTACTTTTAACTACTGTGCTTACTGCTTCATCTGTACAATGACCAGACCACAAGAGGTTTGTTCTGTTAATGCTGTGCCTTAAATAAGCCAGAAGCCCAGGCTACATGGTGATGTAAATCAATATTTTATCTGCAGTCCTGAAACGTTTACTCTCTCCAAGGGGCCTGGATTCTTGCAAATAGCACTCAATTACCTACACCTCAGACATCTGCAGATTACCTTATTTGGGATATTTTTAAAATCAAAATAATCTCATAAACCATCTGTTCCACCACATAAATCATCCATTTTGTAGAAACCTCAAAAGATGTGGACTTTAGGGTTTGAAGAATTCTCCCAATAAAAGAACACTGAAAAGAGATGATTCCTAAAATATAAGCCTAGGAGAGATCAGCACTGAGAAAAGAATCTTTGACAAATGGTAATTTTAAAGGGCTTTGCCACTGTTATTCTGAGCATCACCTCTCACAATACAAGGGTGTAGAGATTTAACTGAATGGTAAATACTAGCCAATCCTCAGCAGTCCTAGGAGGAGGATTTTCTGAATAAATGCCACTACCCAAGAAGGGATCTGCTGAATGCTATTCTCATTAATTCTCATTAATGGAGTGTAAGCTTGGCAAAAAGAGAGAAAGAGAAAAAGACAAACTAAAAACAGACTTGCAATGAGTAACAGATCAATTTGTAAAGGCATCTGCTATGCTGTGCACACATTACACTCCAGTGTGTAAATTATCTTCAAATGTCTCTCCTACATCTTTTGGCATATCAATGTAATTCAGATGACATACATTAAGCAAATGAACCATTCAGCTTCTCTCCAAATTCACAGCAGGAAGGTATCCAGTGTAACTGTAATTTCATTTCCATCTCTTACTTCAACAATGTATTAAGAAATTTACACTCAAGGAACCTTGAATCTATAACTACTGTACAATATAAAATGGGTAGAATTACGTGGAAAATAAAAATTGAGTAAATTATTAAGAATGCTTTGAAATAATTACAGCTTTTTAACGGAGAAATCAGAAGCATAAAAAAAGAAATTCCAGTTTTTGAAAGTTATTGTTTAACAAACTACATTCCACAATAGAAAAAGGATAAAGTTGGGGGCAAACACCCCTAATTTAAAATATGCATGCACTACTATTAATGTGCATCTTTAAACTTCACATCTTTCTTATTTTAAAGGAAAGTAAAGTTTCAAAATGCAAAGTTTTAACATTTTTTTCCCAGATGAATCATCTTATACCACATCTCTGGAACTCTTAACACCTAAAAAATGTCATGTTTGTTATTCTCTGGTCCCAAACATAAAGCAACAAAAATATCATTATTCCTATTACAGAATGTTTTAAATGAATTACCCTCACTAAAAACTAATCTTTCTTTTGGCCAAAGGGCCAGATCGCTACTTCTACAATTACCATTCCTAAACTTTGCTCGCACTGAGCACTAACAAGCATGTGTTACATGCTCATTTTCTTTCAGCAAAAAGCAATGACACAGGCTAGAAGGTCACTAGCACCATAAACATACTGTTTGCCTTTCAACAGACATTTCCAATCAACCCAATTAAGACCTGCTAGTTCCACCCATATTTTTCTTACCTCCTTCCTGACCCCAGAAACAACTCGCGTATGCATGAAAACCCATGAGCCAATAAAAATGAGAGGTCCCCTTCTGTGTTCTCACAACAAAATTATTATAAAGGACAAATTCAATTCACTTTATGAAATGTTTACACCGCTCAGCAACAAAACCACAAAAAAGAAACAATACACGAGGTTCACTAAGCGTGGTAAATGTTTTTGTTGTAAGTGTTCTCTGTATTACTGTAGCTGTAAATTTCGGTCCCTGTTCTAGCTCTTTCCTCCCCATGAATGTTTTCTCCAGCAGTAGGTCACGAGGCTGCCCTGTGTTTAAACACCACCTCGCTGCTTCTTGGCCACTTCCTAAGAGGGCTTCAGCACGTCAGCCACAGATTACCTGTATCAAAACAGAGAACTGCGGCTGGGTTCCCCCTCAGCCTTCCCCAGCGAGCTCTCTTCGGGTGCTTCTTGGCCTTTTCTAGGGGAGGCATGTGACGAGCAGCGTGTCTGCACAGCTGTTCCTAATTACTTCTGAGGCTGGGCGAATGACTCAGCAACCTAACTTTCGTAAAGAGTCATCCTACTTCGCTGTCCAACCAAAATACTGAGCCAGGGTCAGCCACTTGACAGATAACGCAGGTTACACGGCCGGGCACGGACTACTCCACGCTGACTCACCACGAGGTCCCCCACCCCACCCGCAGGCTTCAACTGTCCAGAGGCAGAAGCCCCAAGTGCCTCCAAGCCCAGCCCACACAACCCTTGCACCACTACCCCAGGACCAGGAAGCAGCAGCAGGCTGACACCTCTTCCCATTTCTCCGCTCGACCGACTGAAGCTCTCAAGCACTCCGCCACCCACACGCCTGGGCTTTCCGCCCTTTATCTTTTCGAGTTGCCTTAAAACGCAAACCCTCTGGGATACAGGGTGTGCAAAAATACAAACAAAGACCCAGCTGCGGCATCTTCCGTGGGTAGAATCCCAGCCCCGATATAATTCTGCGAAAAGAGCAGCATCCTACAAAAGTCTTTGTTCTTCCAAGCATGACGTGGCAGCCTGTTTTTCCCACACACGTTCTTTCACGGTTACTACTCCGCTCTACCTCGGATCAGCCCGAGCGCAACGCCGGGAAGGCTCGCAGCCTAGGAGCGGTCCGAGCGCGCGGTTCCCCTCGATGACAGGAAGCTGCCGGTGCGAAGAAAAAGCCACGGGC